AGAGATGTGTATAAGAGTCAATTCAATATCAACTTATAGCGTGCCTTACTTTTACTTAATGTATTTATTTTTAATGGTTGCCTGTGTATTGATATATTATATTCTGCTGTCTTTTTAAAATTATAGTATCACAGAAGTAATCAATATACGTCAAAAATCGTTATTGTTTATAGTTGCTTGTATTTTGATAATTATTTTTGTTTTTAGATTACAATTTCGATAGAACGCCAATTAAAAGCAATACTATTTTTTGTATTTATGTAAATGTTTTTTGTATTTTATAATTATATAAAGCAATTATATTGTATATAACATATCATTTGCCCTTCTTTTAAGCTTAGGTTATAAAAAGTTCCAAAGTAATTAATGTCTATGTAAAGTTCCCAAAGTAATCAATATTCATCTAAAATCGTTATTATATATAGTTGCTTGCATTTTGATAATTATTCTCGTTTTCAGATTACAATGTCGATTGGAAGTGAATTAATAGCATTCTTATTCTTTATATTTATGTAATTATATCATATAGAGCAATTATATTATATAAACATATCCTTTGCCCTTCTTTTACGTTTAGGTTTAGGTTTAGGTTATAAAAGGTTCCAAAGTAACCAATGTCCATCTAAAGTTCCCAAAGTAATCAATATTCATCTAAAATCGTTATTGTATATATAGCTGCTTACATTTTGATAATTATTCTCGATTTCAGATGACAATTTCGATTGAAAGTGAATTAACAGCATTATTACTCTTTATATTTATGTAATTATATCATATAGAGCAATTATATTGTATAAACATATCCTTCGCGCTTCTTTTAAGCTTAGGTTATAAGAGGCTCCAAAGTAATCAATATTCATCATAAGTCCCCGAAGTAATCACTTTATACTTTTTCTTGCATATATCTATTAATAATTATCATATATTGAGTACATTCAAAATACACGATTCAGTAGTCAATTTTACGTTGTTAAGCCCATTATTAAAAAATGTCCCTAAAGTAATCGATT